ACCAAACTTTAATATAGATCAAAAAAGAAATAGTAGGATACAACAAATAACGAATCACACACTTCACTACTTTTACTGTCTCCTGCATAAAAATTCTGATAAGTATGGATAATCCAAAAAGTACTAATAACGCTCAATATGTGATTAATTTATCAACAAGACTACAAAAATACAGAATAGTATAGAAAAATGAAAGAAATTCAAATCCATGCCTAGCTAATGGTCGATAGAAATTGGTAACATACAACGATAACAAACCCTCATAAAAATAATAAAAGAATTAATGAAAATAATGGATTACTAGTCATCTCTGCAATCAAAATGTAGAATGCGCCAACAACTCATCGAAACATAAATATTATTAAACTAGCAAGACATCATTTGCACAATATTATAATGGAACTAAATATCACATCTCTTATCGGAAGTAAACATCTCTGTTCACCCTTTTCGTATTGATAAATGACCACATTAAATTAAGGGCACAAGTCCGCCAAAAAATGAGGAAAATTCCTAGATTTTATAGATTACTTTAATGGTAATCCTTTACGCCTATTTGATGAACCATAAAAATATCAAAATAGATTAAAAATAATACCAGCTCTTAACCCGTGTCCCAAGCAGTAAGGAAATCAATTATCAATAACCCATATATCACTAATTAAAAAACAATATATGGTAGGACGATATGTGCTAAACTTAGGAAAGCTAATGAACGTTTACGTTCAACTTAATACAAGATACCATTAAAAAACAAAGACAAATAATAAATTGGATTTGATCCAAAAATAAGATGAAATATAAATGATAAATTTATTACATTCATAATTGAAATCTCTCTTTGTACGAATCATAAGTATATAAGAAGTAAAATAAGAGGTAGACTAGTAATTAATAAATAGCAAGGAACGTATCATCTTCTAAAAAGCGTCCCGACTAAGGACGGGACGGGCAAAATTGGTTGAGAAGGATATTGATGATATTTCAGGTTGACCAGGTTAGTTTATAAAGGCTCATTGGACAAGCCAACTTCAGATGAGCAAATGATTTATCAGGACATTTGATGTTTCGAATGTGGATTCCCCCAAACTTCTTCCTTTCCATCAACAAGTGCTTCGTAGTAGAAATTTGGGTTATAAGTGGTCATGTGATTTCGAATCCATCCACTTCTCATTTTATCCTTGCAGGCCACATCGGCTGGACAAAGGAGTCTATTAGTTGACAGGCCACTGTTATGTCTATTGTGGTTGATCCGCCAGTACCTCCTAAACGCGAATGCATTTTTAAATCTTCAAGGCACCTTGAAGCCATAAAGCTTACAAGTCTACTTAGGATAGATATTGCCAGGTGATATGAAAGTGGCTTGAAATAGAGCAGTAGGTAGCTGTAGTTCACTTAGTTAAAATATATTAATTTCTTGTACTGACTGGCGTGCAACTCCACCTCACACATTTTATTCCGACTTCCAGAACGCCACCGACATTTGGTGTGTGCTGACTCGATTTAATTCACACTATCATCACTAAGACAATTCTCATTAAAAGCGCAATCGAGTGGGGTTTTTCTCTTCATCTGCTATGCACGCCACATCGCTTTTTTCTCATCCACGACTCCGATCAGTTTGAATTCAAAGAGACTGGAGACAAACTCCACGCAAAATGCACATAGATGGCTCGACTCCACATCAAGCCACCGTTTAAGGCATTGTATTTCAAATTTTGATCTAATGGAGAAGACCCAAATTTCACCTATATTTTGGCCAAAATTCTCATTAGCCCGTATTCATATGCCACCTTTTGACCTTTTCATTGATAGAAATAAATATAATTAGAAAAGTCACAAATTAGTAAGGCCGCTACAATGGTTCACTTAATGGAAATGTTGATTGTCTCTACAATGCCAACACAAATAATAAATTATTGCAACAAAATTGAGGCGTTTTGTTTCGAGTAGAACGAGAAGAGTAGGGTAGTCGGCATCACTAGGATTCAATTCTCTCATTTCAACAACGAATGCCCAAAAAACTGACAATGTATTGACAAGCACGAGATATAGGTTGAGTGGGTGATCGTAACGATAACTTGCTTCCAATCGGAAAGTTATGAAAATTTCAACATGAGTAGATGTTCGAGGGGCACTGGGGCAACCTACAAATGCTAAATATAGAACGAAAAAACAGAGGATTACGTGAGATAAACTGGAAGGACAGGTGACTTCTTTTCAATTGAAAAATAAATTTGTGAAAACTGAGTTCACCTACCACTTCATATTGATCGGATGGAATACGTGATTAGGCTTGTAGCGGATTGCTACTAAGTTATGTATATTGTTTTGTAGACTTGTAGCGGATTGCTCCCTAAGTCTCGAACATGTAGCGGATTGCTACCTTCGTAAAGCCTTGGTTAAAGACTTGTAGCGGATTGCTACCTTAGTAAAGCCAGACCGGTTGAGAATTGTAACGGATTGCTACCTTAGTAAAGCCTGACCGGATTGCATTGTAGCGGATTGCTACGCTAGTAAAGCCTGACCGAAATCTCTATGGCAGATTCTCCAACACCTAGCTAGACTCCCAGAACAGCTAAGCTATAGCTCCACGGATTGCTACGCTAGTAAAGCCTGACTGACTCAGAAATATTGCTACTCTAGTAAAGCCTGACTAACTCAGAAATCTCTGGCTACGCTAGTAAAGCCTGACTGACTCAGAAATCTCAATGGGAGATCCTCCTACATCTAGCTAGACTCCCAGAACCAGCTAAACACCTTAGTAAAGCCTGACTGACTCAGAAATCTCGATGGCAAGATCTCCACCATCTAGCTAGACTCCCAGAACCAACTAAGCTATAGCCCACATCTAGCTAGACTCCCAGAACCAGCTAAGCTATACCCCAGCTACGCTAGACTCCCAGAATAAGCTAAGCTATAGCCCAGCTATAGGCTGACTCCCAGAACCAGCTAAGCTATAGCCCAGCTATGAAAGACTCCCAGAACCAGCTAAGCTATAGCCCAGCTATGAAAGGATCTCCCAGAACCAGCTAAGCTATAGCCCAGCTATAAAGAAATCAAGTCTCTATGGCAGATTCTCCAACATCTAGCTAGACTCCCGAGAAATCTCTGGCAGATTCTCCTACATCTAGCTAGACTCCCGAACTAGCTAAGCTATAGCCCAGCTATAAAGAAAACAGACGTATAATTCAGCTAAGCTATAGCCCAGCTATAAAGGAAACAGACGTGTTGCGCTAAGCTATAGCCCAGCTATCAAGGAAACAGACGTGTAGCACGGAGCACGTTTATTCAGGACGTATGTTGCGGATAAAGTGTACACGCAGAAAGCTTAATCATGATCAGGTTGGCGGATTAGGTTAAAAAAACAGAGGTTAATGATTGATCACTGTTTGTAAGGTCGCACCTTCCAATACTGGCGTGCAGGCATGCGATGATGTGTTAAGCTATGACGTGTCCACACAACACTCCTCCCCTAGAGCGTTTGTAGGAAGCTGAAAATTGAAGAAAACGCTCGATAATTAGTTAATGTACAAAATCAACTAGTTGAGAGGGGAAGTTTGATCTTCGGACTTTGAGAAACAGGGTTTTGGGTACAGGTGGGATAGGTGTTGGAACTGCTGAGACCGGATTGTTGGAGTTGGAGGCAGTAGGATTGTGGACTTCGGGCATGCTTGTGGACCTTGCCGGCTGAGCGAGTGAGGCAGTATTTGGTCCACTGACGAGCGCCCCGTTGGATGTTCCTCCATATACAATGATCGGTGTTCAACGTTCTTGTTGAACGAATGTTTGGTTGCGACAATCCATGGTCGAAATCTTCCGGCGTGTGCTTGCCTGACGATTGGCCAGGGCCTGTCGGTTGAAATGCAGTTGTGAGTTGGAGTTTTGGGGACCTGTAAGGGTAGGCTTTCGAAGGGTAACGTACTCCGGCTGTTATTTCCATTGGGTACACGGATGAGGTTCTTGAGTCTCGTAGAGATGGACATTCGAAACGCAACGTGATCCGGCTGTTGCCTGTTTCCAAGGGCGTTCTGTGGGAGTCATAGCCAGTGAAAGGAGAGAGTTGGGGTGTCGTTGAGGTGCTGATCGTTCGTGAGAAGGAACCATCAGATGAGGAGAGCGATGAGAGATGGAGTCTTGTGGAAGTCAGCATTTGACTTGTCGTGAGAAGCGGCAGCGGACGTAATGTGATAACCATTCGAGCGGGAAGAGATCACCGAGGGAACTGAGGGATGAGGGGGGAAAATCCCGATGCCAGTGAGAGATTGGTTCTCTGCTGAGCGATTAAAGTCAGGCTTTGGCAATCACGTCAGGGTCACCAATTTGTAGCGGATTGCTACTCAGAAATCTCTATGGCAGATTCTCCAACATCTAGCTAGACTCTCAGAACCAGCTAACCTATAGCCCAGCTATGAAAGGAAACAGACGTGTAGCACAGATTCCATTCCGTTCTTCATCTGGACTCAATTTAAACGATACCTTTGGAAATGATTGCGTCTCCCGAATTTCCGCAAAAAACGAGACTAGAGTTGACACTACTCGAAGCCAATGAACCAGCCAAGTCGAGAGGTGCCCGCCCATCTCTTACTCCACTAGGCTAGGAACCATAATGTCTTGGAAAGATGGAAGCCTTTGGCTCTCAACTGATCCTGACGAGTTAGAGGCCGCTACCGAAAAAACTTTCGGGGGAAATTTGGTTACCGGAGATCGGACGCTCACACCCGAACAATTTAAAGCTACACTTAACCTCCTTGTAGGAAATGGTTCGGAGTTTGACGTCAATCGTACCTCGTGCGATTTAGCCGTACCAAAGCATTCTGAGCCTTTAGAAAAGACTTGTGCAATTGACCTCTCGATGGTGAATCAGTCGCAATGGTTGTCTCCTCCAGAAGAAGGCATGGAATACGACATGGATGTTCTCAGTAAGGCTTTGCACTATATGCTCCTGGGATGGACTGAACCCTCCGATCCTATCTTCATTCCTCTGCCCAAAGTAGCATACCAACGCCATTGCACAAAAGAAGCCGATAAAGGTGTGCGTCGAGGAACCCGAATCCGTGTTCATACACCTATCGATTCCTGGGATAGGGTGTACAGGGAGGTGCGTGTTAATCCTGTCACAGGTAAGAAAGAAGAGTTACCTCTTGGGTACATGAGGTACCCCAAACCGGAGGAATTTCGCAGTCACGTCAGGGTTACCAATAAGTTATGTATATTGTTTTGTAGACTTGTAGCGGATTGCTCCCTAAGAAAGCCTGACCTGGTTAAAGACTTGTAGCGGATTGCTACCTTAGTAAAGCCAGACCGGTTGAGAATTGTAACGGATTGCTACCTTAGTAAAGCCTGACCGGATTGCATTGTAGCGGATTGCTACGCTAGTAAAGCCTGACCGAAATCTCTATGGCAGATTCTCCAACACCTAGCTAGACTCCCAGAACAGCTAAGCTATAGCTCCACGGATTGCTACGCTAGTAAAGCCTGACTGACTCAGAAATATTGCTACTCTAGTAAAGCCTGACTAACTCAGAAATCTCTGGCAGATTCTCCAACATCTAGCTAGACTCCCAGAACAAGCTAAGCTATAGCCTAGCTATAAGGGAAACTCATCTAGCTAGACTCCCAGAACCAACTAAGCTATAGCCCACATCTAGCTAGACTCCCAGAACCAGCTAAGCTATACCCCAGCTACGCTAGACTCCCAGAATAAGCTAAGCTATAGCCCAGCTATAGGCTGACTCCCAGAACCAGCTAAGCTATAGCCCAGCTATGAAAGACTCCCAGAACCAGCTAAGCTATAGCCCAGCTATGAAAGGATCTCCCAGAACCAGCTAAGCTATAGCCCAGCTATAAAGAAATCAAGTCTCTATGGCAGATTCTCCAACATCTAGCTAGACTCCCGAGAAATCTCTGGCAGATTCTCCTACATCTAGCTAGACTCCCGACCAGCTAAGCTATAGCCCAGCTATGAAAGGAAACAGACGTATAGCACGGAGCAAGTTTATTCAGGACGTATGTTGCGGATAAAGTGTACACCCAGGAAGCTTAATCATGATCAGGTTGACGGATTAGGTTAAAAAAATAGAGGTTAATGATTGGTCACTGTTTGTACGGTCGCATCTACCAATCCTGGCGTGCAGGCATGCGATGACGTGTTAAGCTATGACGTGTCCTACAATGCAAACGAAAAAAATCAATAAAATGTGCATTCGCTAAATGGTAAATTAACTATTGGAGTTTCTAATCTGCAAAGTCCCATGGGATCAATGATCCTTGATAACTAGCTTTGAATCTGCAAATAACAAACTTTGTACCAATCGAAGTTTGTCGAATTCAGAAATGGATGATAACTTTACACAATAGTACTCGGGGGCTGCCAGGGTAAATCGAGGAATGTACCAAATCAAATAAATTAGTGCACAAAAATCAAACGGAATTTAACCATATTTACATTGATAAAAAATCTAAGGAGAAAAAAGGATTTTCAAAAACACCAGAGATTTATGGGGAGTATTCATACCAGAGCCCTCGTTAGCCGTCAGTTTAGAAGCTGACGTTACCACCCAGGACCACGTGGAGGTGAGGGATGGATTTTACCTGGGTCCCACTTAAAGTGGGGGCTTCACACCTACTAACATGTTTGTCCACCTACCTACCTGCCTGCCTGCCTGCCTACCTCTCTTTGCCCACCCACCACCTATCGTGTGGAAGCTATCAACTCACCTTTCCCAGCAACGTCTTCGCCATCGTCGTTGTCGTCGGTCTGGTGCTGGTGTTCCTGGTGCCGGAGATCCTTGTGCTGGGTTTCCTGGTGCTGGTCGTCCTCTCCGTCGTCGGCGCCTACGCTGCCTACATTCCAAACCCACTCTACCTGCGTAGGTCCACCTAGACGCGCCCTGTCGAGTCCGGGAACTGCGGTCTCAAAGGAAAAAACGGGGCCGAGCCCCAGACCCGACAGGGACACATCAATATCCTTTCCTATAAAATATGATTGGATACTTTCGGGGGTTACGCAGGCTCCACTATCTTCTTGGAAGGCTGTGCTGGTCCTCTTGCAACAGCTTCTACTGCTGCTGCTTACCTTAACTTGCTTGGACTACTGTCTCTACAGGCTTCCAACTCTATTCTACTTCACACCAGCCCCACTGCAACCGAACTAACGCTAGGGTGAAAGCAGGACAGGAAAGGAGTTAGGAAGGATAAGGAAGGAAAAAGAAGGAAGAGGACTAAACCTCTCTCACTCTACGCAACTGACCCACACCCTGGTGTGAAGCAACTCCACAGATTTCCATGAGGGTTTAAAAACCCGCATTGTGATGTGTTCACTTTAATATGAAAATTGAACAGCATCTAGTCATATGGTGCTACTTTGGCAATACGATTGGCCAATCAGTTCAAATCGATTAATGTTTCGCTCACTGTGTTAAGCGAAATTCTGAGAGAAATCTTTTTGATTAGAACTCGCCGATAAGAAATTTGAAAAGTTGGAAAAATTAAAACCCTGGAAATTTATACTTAGTTCAATATAGTCGATAAATTCCACCACGTAACTAGTGGCGCCCATGAAATGCTACCCAAATCGATAATAATATTAGCTAATAAAGTAGTGTTAATTTCCGAACGATTGTTATTTCATATCCCCTATGTCTCACTACACTAGACAGAAGTGAATTTGCACGAAATTGTGGAAGGAATAATTTCAAATAAGTGGAAAGTAATTAGCTGCACTACTATGATATAGGTTTCTTAAGCTTTGCCTTTCGGCATTCAGACCATTTCTTC